TGTGCACATGAATTGGTAAAAGAGGCTTTTGTGTTTGTACAAAATAGAGCGCACTTTCAAGATCCCTGTTTTTTAGTTAATCAAATGATTTACTTTTGAAAAAAATAAGCGCACAACTTCCTTAGAGTGCCACTTCATTTTATATCTAAAATCTACATTGAAGGCACACTCGTAGTCTTGTAATCTAGTTTTCTAATCTCGATCTAGTTTTCCAATTATGCAGGTAATTTCCCGTGCAGTAATTATTAAAGTATTTCATGTCTGTAGTGACAAAAGCAATGTAATTTAGGATGTTGGATCGACGGATTAAATGTTTGATTATTTATAACTAAACTTAACCAAGTAGTTTAGTCTTTTGAACCATATCAACCACTATAATACAGCCTGTATAAAACCTGACTTTTTTGGTCAGCATTTGCCACAATTACACCGTGTAGCCACGTGTCACAACTCTTCCAGGCGTCCTAAAAATTTAAACAATGACAGCAACAGGGAGATGTAAACAATAGGCCTTCACATAGGCCTCTGTGTACTTGAGAACAAACCCGTTAATGGTCAGTTAGGACTGAGTAAAATAATTAATATTAATAAGAATGGAATATTATTTTTTATTATTTTTGCATTGCATGCAAAATTTGTGCATAAAAGTTGAATTTAAAAAAAAATGTTTCATGAGACCTGGGCCACAAGATAATAATAGACGAAACTCTGCCCCCTTCCGTCATCAACCCTCTTCCTCCCGTTTTTAAATATCCTCTTTTGGGGACCCCTTCCCCTTAATTCCGTCACGCAGTGGCTGGGGGCAGGGGCACGTAAAAGTACCCCTGGGTACCCATCATTTGAAAAGTTGGAATGTACGTACACAGAGTATAATAATATGCATGCCTCGTTGCAAATGTGTTCAACCTTGCCTTGTGCCCCCTAAGATATTTGATCATAGTAACACCACAGTTCTCTCATCAGCCCCCTTTGAACCACGTGACTGCAAGTAATTGCGAATTGGGACATTGAAATTCGGTACCCAATGGCCACCGTCTTTGGTGTACAGTTTTGATGCTAATGCATTCAAGAATATGGCTTCGTTTCTTTGTGAAAACATTCATGCTTCGCAAAAACTAAGTCAGTGTAGCTTTGGGTATTTGCTGCCATTTATACTGGAAGGTTTAATAATTAATGGATGCTACTCTGGAATTACGAGGATCTGGATCGCAATTCTCGTGCAAAACAGACAGGCCTATGGTTGTCACACTTCACTGATCACAGCAATGGATCCACGATGTAGACTTGAACCCATTAATCCCTGTTGTCTAGGTAGGCCTATCTCTCCTGACATGGTTACCATGCAATGCCTGCAACCTGTTAAGTTGCCTCTACGCAACGGAATGCAGGGTGGTTGACGTATGTTCATGACGCTCATTACCAAAGTACGCACGCGCAATATTTGCACTTAACAACGGTATAGCAACAGGCTATGTCTGCGACGTGATTGCAAAACGAGGCGTCATCTTTGTTAATAAATTTCCAGGAAACGATTAATGCAACTTTGATTTGTAATGAAACTGTCATTATATTATAATGAAAAGTTTCATGACAAATTCAAATTGCATTAATCGTTTTATTTTTCGGTAGCACTAATTTTGTTTCCTGCCTCAGAAAACGTATTGAAAATGTGGTTTTAAATAACCCCAAACTATTTATTTTCACCTGAAAAATTTGATGGTTGCAAAATTTAATCAATATCTATTCAATATATGTTTTTCCGGTTATAAAAACTAGATTCAGATAAACTAGAAGACTGTTTTAATTAAGTGACTACAATAAAACAAACAGGAATCCGCCGGATATAAATTGTTGTAAAAAGCGTTCAAATTTTTGCGCCAAATCCTGTGAATCCAGACATTTTGTAATGGAAGAATACGTCACGTATGTCCTAATAAAACTTAATCCTTACAGTCAGGAATTAATGCTTTTTCAAAGAGGGGATACCTTTGCACCGTGCTCTTGTAAGGGAAACGTTTGAGTAATATTCTTGTAACGGCGAGTCACAGGTCAAATCCAGTCTTGTATGCCTGTGTACATGTGAACGCGTGACATATACAATTGTGTGCTGGGGCGGACTCAACGACTTTGACGTCTCGGTACCGCACTGGTCTGTGTCCACAGCAGCAGAAGTGATGAACAGGAAATGCCAGTAATGTAACGATTCTACATGTACATTGTGAAATGGTATCAGTGCCTACCAAATCGGTACAATATAACAGAAAATCATCATCCTCTTATTGGATATACTATTTTGCTAATAAAAATGGATACAAAATGGCTTTGAAATTTCGTGCACCATTGGATCGATACGATATTGGGGTGATTTAAAATGACCTAATTAATAAAAATGTTGTCCAGCGGATTCAAAATAAATGCCTAAAACCAATGCATCAAAGTTGAATCTTTAATTTCCAGCTTGATTTTTATGAGAATGTCTTTTGTATTAAAAACAATTGATGAAATTAGTGCGAAATTTTGCAATTTCGATTTTTTTTGTTAGAAAGGGTCCATAAAATCCACCTTTTCATACTGTTCTGAGATTTACCATTATTTAAAAATCTCACTTATGCAGGAAAACCGTGTGTTGTTCGTGGTGCCGTGTTTAGATCCTCCCAAAAGTTATTTATGCTTCTACATTAAGGTATTTTATACGTCAGTCATTAAAAAATTCAACGCTATAATGTCGTCTGCTTGCACGAATAACTGTTGTTGTTGGTTTGAAATTGAAGTGCTCATGCGCACTTGTAATGAACATTGTATCTATGGCATGAACATATATGGGTTTGAGAGAAAGAGATAAATGCGAGCAGCAGACCCACCCGTTGCTGCTAAAAATTTATTTATATCTGAGCTGCCTGCGCAGATAGGGTTTAATGGTTTGATCGAGAAAAGACAATATAGGAAAAACGAGCGACTGTTTGTGCTTCAAATTCAGTAACATCTGAAGAAATGGGCGGAGCTGCAATGTTGGTGCTGATCGTGTCTACACTGACAGGTAGGGTTTTCATCCTTTCATATTGAAACCTAATGTGTTTTCTCTCCATGTTGTGATGACTTTTTTTTCTAAACAGAAATCATCTGTATTCTTTTGACATTAACTTTCGGCAAATAATATTCTGTAACATCATTGTTTTGGTCATGCCGATTTTTTATCATTTGATTCCTTCTTTTAGTTCCATCCAGCCTCAGAAATGTGCACGTTTCATTTTCTTAAACTGGGTGATTACTGGGTAAAGCATTTGCTTTACAATAATACCTTGCCTATAATTCCAATCTTTTCAGTCGATGGTTTTGCTAGGCTCATTGACTCCTTGCCTCATCCGTTTTTAGCCCGCCCACAACGACCATGCTGGTGGGAAAAGTCGTTCTATCTGGTGACTTTTGTCACTGCTAGAATAAAACGGTGATGAAATAAGAATCTATTTTTATGCATAACATGTCAACTGGAGGTATTTACGACAATTATCGGGTTTTAATCAGCTTTCACAAGTCAGAGAAATGCCAGAATATTTGGAGCTGTCAGCAACTTTCCCGAAATCCAGCAAGGGATAGAATGCCGACATTTGTTTTGAGTGAAAGAGTGCCATGTCAATTGGTTCTTACCTTTTGTAAAGGCACTGTGAAAGCTTGAACCACGCCGTGAACCATTCAAACTTTACTGACCAAGCAATTCCAATGATTTCAATTGTTATGGTTATTGCATGAGTGGGATGAAACATACAGAGCTTGGTGGGGACGTGTTTAACGTCAATTGCAAATAATCTGAAACGGACATTTGAACCACAAGACCAAATATAGCCATGCTGTCTCTCACCGAAGTCATCATGATATCAAATATAAGTATATGTCTTTGTATCTAAGAGTTCTTGAGTGGTGTGGAGGGCACAGCGAGGACATGCTACTTCGGTCCCCCACCGAAACCTGATCCTGATAACCCGGATCACTGGATGAAGCAAGTCATGACAGAGATACGGGAGCGTTACCCGGGAAGGAGGGGACGTAGCCCGGCGGGTAAGTCATCTTGATTTGCATTTCAATAATTCTGGTTTTGAATGAGCTCCAAAAACGTTTTGCTTTGGAATAGATACCAAATTTAAAGGACATTTGAATTCATTTCACAGGCACAACAGGAAACAAGAGAATCCCACAATATAGTTTTCAAATGTCAAAAATGAGCACCATTGAACAAATGAGCCTCCTGCCTGTTAAATTTGAATGAAATCTAGTACACTGAGGTTTTTGATCGCGTATGAACGTAACAGTTTGAAATTGCCAGACTAAAGACACAATTGCTATATGATTCAGGGCAGGCTTTTGCATAGCGACCACCATCTCTGGAGTGGACTGGTTCCAATGGGCCCTTCTTAACATTTTTTAAACGTTAAAAACAGTACTTATACATGATCTTTTGATTTCTGTTGAGCACCACACTGCCTCCCTTATATTAGCTTAAACTCGTTGTAATTCCCTTTTCAGTTTCTCTGAGTACAGTCGTCACTGGCACACACAACATACATTATAACCACTGAAAAATGGATAATGCGTTTTAACAAATAAATGATTCACCAGTACTTTCTGGAACACGTATTAAAATGCATTGTTAGAAAAGTGTTGCTGCAGGTAGCAGGCAGTCGTGCCCGCTTATATCTTATCACCTAAAATATGTAATATAAATGAGAGCAGCTCATTTTATTTCAATTTTGCAGAAGAGGAAAGACTGAATGTTAATATAAAACAAATAAAAGACGGCCTTCCTCGATGAAGCTTTTAGGAGATTGAAATGAATTTCAAGAATATAATCCTTGCTAATCAGTTTGGCGCTTCACTGAGTTTGGTGCTTTTGATGAAATTATTCTGCTTCAATATACTATTGTACATATAATCCACATTTCTGTTCACAGTTTCACGAACCAACAGTTTCAACACCACGAGTACTGAAAAAGGCTACATGTTTCCCCATTTCTTTTATGGGGGAGCAAAGCTTTCTCAAACTAACAATGAGTCAATTTTGGAAGAGATACAATCGCGAGGATTTTTGATTTCCTCTCCCCCTTCCTGTCTTCATTTATTGATCAGTCGCCTTTGGGGAAGGGAGCAAACGCCCTCCCTGCTTTATGATGCCCATATCTCTATGCACCCCCAGGATTGCATTAGCGGGGGCTTATGTTATGGCATTCTTTTGTTCTTTTTTTGTTTTGGAAATTGCGAAAAAACCTTTTAGTTGGTCAGGATTTTTTTGGGGGGGGTCTTCTTTTTGGGCCACAAGCCCATAGACATTGCAGTTTTTTTGCACACGTTTTTTCTGTGCAGTACTTTTGCCATTAATCTTTGTCGCGCAGCATTCAAAGTTGGCAAAGGCATAGTCATCATTGCATAAATGTATGCCGAAGAGTGACGTCATGATGACGTCATAGGGTGATTTATTATTGATTTTGCCTATTTATTTTAGCCTATTGACTTTGTATACGTTTTCAAGGCACAATTAATTTTGGGTTACTTCGCGATCCTCAATCGTCATTAAAGTTACTGCCGGCGAAGAAAATGATTCAAAATCAATGCCTAATTTATGACGTCATGATGACGTCATCGCCTTATTTTATATTGATTGTTGAATATTTTATTTTCCCCATATGTTTTGTACACGTTTTTCTAATTAACACAAATGAGCAAGTAGTCCTGTACTTCGGCTCAAGATTACTACAAAAACAAAAGAGAAATTGGGTACTTTACGCTCTGTTATTTTATTTGAAATATGCCCGAGAGTCCGGATATGAAGTAATATGTCATAAAATTGTTCAGTTTAAGCACAAATCACGTGACATGAACTTAGAGGAGCAGTGTTTCTGCAAACGAGTTTACAGGCCATTGACTTTGTACACGTTTTCGAGCCACAATTTTGGTAAGTTTGCGACATTTGATCGTTGACAAAGTGATAGCCAACAAAGACTGATGAAAGATTTATTGAAAATGAATGATGTAATGATGACGTAATCACCTTATTCTATATTGGTTTTGAATATTTTATTTTTCCCATAGGTTGTGTACACGTTTTTCTACTTTTATTAAATCTGTAAACTTCAAAGCCTTATTTCTCCGAAAGGATATGATAACTAGAAAGGGAAGTTTTACAGACGAATGTTGACCTGATGTGATGAGAACGTCATCAGGAGACAAGTCACGTGACAATAAGCGTGCACTCTTTTAGGTCCTATATCTCCTGAAGTACATGTCCGATCGGATTCAGTGAAATATCGACCTGATATAATGATGACGTGATCAGGAGACAAGTAACGTGACATTAAAGGTGCACACTTTAAGGCCCTAGATCTCCTGAAACACATGCTATATCTGGTTAAAACTTTGTAAATAACTTGAAAGAGAGGTGTTGTATACGAAAAATGACTTGATGTGAAGATGCCTGAGTTGTTCAAATGTACAACAGAATGCGAAAAAGCCCTCTGTTCTGTTGTCAAACAGACAGATAAGCCCTGGTTTTTTTTATATCGCGCCTGAGTAGACCAATCCAGAGCAAATAGAACGACGGTTGATTTTTCCTTCTAAGTTTTCTGAAGACACTTGGAAAATAGTGATCCTGTTCCGNCGAACAGCGTTCTTGGGCCAAAACCCCGCCGTTCGAGCGTGAGAACTAGAAATAATGTGTCGAGAACAAATTACTGGGACTTGACCTTTGAGTACGTATGCGCGCCCCGAGCGTTACCAAGAGATGGCGCAATTTTCCTACCAAAGAAGACTCCTTCACTTCGCTTGGTCACGAATAATTACGAAATGCGTGCGTTGTGGTGACATTGCTACGAACATTATACTAGGACACTCCCACCAACATGACTCTTTTCAACCGATGAGAGGGTGCTCAAGGTAGATTCTGTTGCGTCGTTTCTGTGCTTGTGTTGATCGTGGAGTGTCGTACTGATTCGAATGCTTAAAAAAAGCCCAAAGTTTTGCTATTATTTTTCCCTGCTCTGTGATTTGTCTAATGTTTGAACCGTCCTTAACATTTTGCAGTGATGGATTTTTTAAGTTGATGCAAACTTGAGAGTGTATGGTCACGAACGAAATTGTTTCATTTGTTTCCACGTTTGATTGTAGAGGAAGGGCCTACAGAGCCAGGACCCGCGATAGTTCCTTGCTTAAACCCGAGGCCGTTAGGGATGGAGGACAAGACTATCCCCGATGAAAGGATCTCAGCGTCCAGTCACATGGACTGTTTTCGAGGTTCCTGTTTGGCCACAGATGCACGTCTCAACAGTAACAAGCGATGGGCACCCAAGAGGTAGGTATCCATGGGAGACTACACACCCTCATAGACCCCACTCGCATTCCCCACACACCTTATACACTGAGCAGACAATACTATATGTACACAACTAGGTAATACAGAAGCGCTTATTAGCGATAGATCGGTTTGTTCGTGACCTTTTAGAAAATGACGGATGACGGTGACTTCGATGACCTGGACACCTGCTGTCCGTAGACAAGTTGACAAGTGTGTTGGAACGTGACCTGTTAACAACAGGGGGCTATTTTGAATTATGTTTCAATGTTTTGTATATGCAGGCAAACAATCAGATTCGAGACCCTTTCCAGAAATTCCGTCGAGAATTTACGTATAATTAATATTAAGTATACTTTCGCGCTGTTCTCTATTTTTTCACTCTATTGTTGCTCATCTTTTAAAATCATTGTGAAAAGTCTTGAGGAGTGGCAGAACACTGACTGTCAGCAGATTTTTTCTTCCTTCTCTGATTTCCTGGGGAGGGGCACAGGCTTCGAGAGGGCGTGTTCATTCCCTTTCGATCACACCATTGACCATGCCACCACAACAGTTATCTATGTATGAGCCTGTCTTAAAACAATCGGAATTTTCGTATTGTTTTCCTGCCAATATCCCTTCTCTTACAAGCTGATTTATGGCGGATTGTTAATTCATTGTTCATCATCCCCTTGCCCTATGTGTACATAGCAACGCAGACTCCTGGATCGAGGTTGACCTCGCTGTGAGAACAGTGGTGTCTGGCGTCACCACACAAAGAGGCCCGAAGGGTGTGTGGTATGTGGAAAAGTACAAAGTGTCATATCAGAGGCAACCCTCATCTGATCGTGTGCACGTGACAGATCAAGACGGGGACACCAAGGTAAAAATGTAGCAACTCGCTCTGTCCAAGATTAAAGACTGTCTTTGTGGTCTTTACATTCATTAATATGTTCTGGTTCCTGGTGTCAAAACAAGAGAACAATAATACAAATGATAATGTGGTTCCTGCGTCGTAATTGTCCTCCCTATCTAATGTTCCCCTTTGTAATATTTTGTGTTTTGATCCCCGTCCTCTTCCTTTTGACCGCTCTTCCTCCTGACCCCCTACCCCTTACCCCCTCCCCCGTTTTGACCCTCCTTAGCCCTATATGTTTTGTTTCCTCTTCCCTTTCTGTATTTTCGCCCTTTTGTCCAAGTACATTGTTAATGTTTGTAAACAAATTTTGATTTCCGTTGATTCAATTTTTTGTCATTTTAATTTTAACCCTTTTAGAATTTATTATTGATCATAATGTTCCTGTTTACTCCAGGGCTTTTTAGAAATTTAAGGCTTTTAGCTTTTTGATACCCTTTTCTTTTGTAATTGCACATATTATTGTATATTTCTTTGTTTTAATGTACATGTAAATTGCATTCACAATTCTGCCCCTGGCAGCGAGGAATACAGTTAAAATAAATAAATAAATAAACCATTCATAATAAACATGATCTGAGTAAAACGCTTTCGGTTACACCATGGATCAATCTCTTTCTTGAGTATGTGTGGTTCTGAGAAGAACCGTGGAAAAACTCAGAACCACACATACTCAAGAAAGAGATTGATCCATGGTGTAACCCCAAGCGTTTTACTCGTATAGCTCTTTTGCCATTAAAACCTTCAAGTCTTATCAGAACATGATCTGTTTATTTTAAGGGCAATACTATTTTTTGCTGTATGATAAGTGCTACGTTGTCGCGCTTTATCACTCAAATAATTTTTTAAAACTGTTTATGGAGCTATATACTCCGCAAATATTTGAAAATAAAAATGTCAGTAGTGTAATTTCCTGGTATTTGTATTCAAGTAAATTGTGCGATGGTTTCATCCGTTTTTACTGCAGGTTTTCAACGGCAACACGAGCAGTAACACTACGGTCACTAACCTGTTTGATGAGAGTGTGGTGGCAACAACTGTGCGCATTGAGCCGATTCAGTGGCACACCTGGATTGGACTAAGATTCGAGTTGGTTGGATGTCGCTTAGACTAATTATTCACGTTTCGGCGCTTCTTGCATTTCATGATATTTTTTGCCGTGCTAGGACAGAAAAAGACTACATGGAAAATAAACATCAAGAAGACCATGGTCATTAGAGACGACCGTGTGGCAAAAATCTGACGATGTTTTAAAATGTCAGTTAAATTGGTAAAAACTTAAACAAATTTCATTTAAATAACGAACATTAGGCAAGCTTTTAAATGTAGCTTTTCTGCGGTCAATTATGCAAAAATGGGCGCATGAAGCAGTAAAGAAACATTCGTGTTTGTACAAACTGGGGTGAACTTTCAAAATCCTTGTTTTGTCACGTTTTCAAAATATGTGGCTAATGTAGAGCACAGTGATATTTGAAGCATAGCTGGTCGCGTTTTATTTAATTTATGCGTGAACACCAGTCACATAATTTGGAGGTTTTTCATCGAAAGATTTACTGTTTGAGTATTTATGATGAGTGAACTTTTAACCAAGCAGTGTAATCATTTGAAACACAGACTAACCATTGCAATACAGCCTATGGAAAAGGCTTCTCTCTATTTTTTTTCTTTTATTGGCTCAGCATTTGCCACAAAACTTACAAAAGTCTGCCATGAGGAACCCCTAGGTTTTCCATTGTGTTTCATGGGAAACCATAGAAACCCCGTGGGAGGACAATGGCCAGTTGCTGAATACCACGGGAAAACCAAAACGAGTACCATGGGCAGCCAGGGGAACACCATACACTGTCTTAAAACACCATCTCCTTTCCCCTTCTTTCCCCGCGCTTTCCCCCCTATTTCCTACCTATTTATTGCTCAAGAGCCTATGGGGGAGGGGGAAAACGTCCTTCCTGCTTGATGGCTCTCTGTTTTCTCTTTGAGTGACAGTCATTCAGTGAACTTCACAAAGAGTGCTATTTTGGGACATGGGTGTTGGCTGGAGTTTTCGGGGGTTAATGCATTTTTTTCCCAGGAGTCAAATTTCTGGGTTAAATATTTGGATATGTATTTTTCTATTTCAACTTCTTAGCATTTTTATTTGATATCTTCAAAGTATGTGTTTTCCAGACAGCAATTTTGTCTGTTTCTGTGTCATTGCCAGTTACACTGTTTATTTGTATTGTTCTAAACATTTTTTTCACAGACTTTAATTTTATAAGCTGAGAAATTCTACAACTTTACATTCAACAGGTTTTTTTTCCAAAATCTGTTTCAACGGGATTATTTCTTTATCTTGACGTACACGTCACAATTCGCAAAACAAAATTATGCAGTTGACATAATGAACGAGTTGACCCGTTTCCGTCATTTTCCCATGTTTCTCACCTCATTTATCGTGTCAAATTTCCACACTTTTGTATAACTCCCCTCTGATCACCGGTGATACTGTCTGAAAGACTGATACTTGTTTTGTTATTAACTGATAGAGCTATCAGCTTATTGATTTTTTCAAGATAGAGAGCCATTTTTCTGAAATGCTTTCGTTTTTCATGCGGAATCAAAATTCCACACGAGTTTGGCAGCGGTCGAAATTGAGATGTCTGGATTTTGGGCATGGTGCATGCACGTACCTACGCAGACTTGGATACGCGTACGTTTGGGTAAGAGTTGGCCTACTGCATTGCAAGAATGCGTACACGCACGTCAAATTGCCCCACTAATTAAAAATAAACAAAAACTTTCCGTTCTCATCCATACGGTTTCCTTCTTGCATGATACTTTCTCGTTAGAGCGTTCATGATATTCCTCATTATTCACATGCAGGGAAATGTCAGAGAGAACTCGGCAAAACTGAAAAAAAAATCTCCTCTAAAATGGTTCACTTCCAACTTCTGACTCTGTTACTTTAGAGGTACGTAAGAAAGACCGGCCAAAATTTGGCAGAAAAAGAATTGTTATTGTGTGCAAGTTATCAAAAGGGACTTTGGGTGTTGAAATATTAATCGGTATGGAAATAAGGGGCAAACAACTTTTTCTGAGCTTGATGTTGATCGATTACTTTTGGGGTCCACCTGTTCGAGTCAAGGGCCATTTTACAGGCTTCTGGCTACAGAGGGATTCAGTACGCATGCGCACAAACTAAGTGAGGGGGATGAACATGCGTGACCTGGAAACACACATCGGGCAAGACGCGCGACGTGCTACGCCGTGTGTGTCTAGCTGGGACAACGCACTCATATACGTGACAATGAAAACCGATTAGAATAATTTAGTTCTGTCCAAGAATAATTAATCCATTAAAATCTGTTTTTTCTATTTTTTCTTGTTTTCTGACTACTTCTTCTTTAGTTCGTAACTGTAAGAACTACTACAAGAGTGATTATCAGACTTTTTTTAAATTTTATATCAGAGCCACTACACGTAGTAGTGTCTTTTTGGAACCATACTTATGTCTCAAACTATTACTATCGTTTAGTCATTTAGCTGAAACAGTCCGTCAATTTTAACAGCATGTTTAGGCATAACTCTGTTCAAGGCTTTGTTGACTTTCATGCCTTTATCAAGTTTTTCTTCGAGATCACCCACAAGGTCCTGGTGAGTTTCATTATCCTTTAAATGTAGGTAACTTGACAGAAACTCCTTGTAGTTGTCAAAAAGTCTGGCTTGACTGCCCAGAGGGTCTATCTGTTTGCCTTGGGCCTGGCTTGATTTTCATCCATGCCTTCTTTGACATTCTTGTCATTTTTTTCATCTTCGTCCCCCTATTTGTTTCTATGGCTTTTAGTCAGCCAATCTTGGTAGGTGGCATTGTATTCCAATAATTTTCACCCGAGTTTTCGTTATCAACCTCCTTATCAGGTTCCGAAACATCGTCAACTTCATTCCTGTCTGATTCCTCTTCAGCGTGGATATTTTCCATGTGCCTTTCTAGATTAGACTTCCGTCCAAAGCATTTGTAACACTGGTGACAAGCATAGGGCTTAACTGCAGAAATAACATTCATGTCGATCCTTGGAAGAATGACGTTTAAATGGGAGAACCAAATCAAATTGTTCATCATATGATTTATATAAACATGTCTATGTATTTCACTGCTAATGATTTGCTCTTTTCATTGCTCATTTTCTTCTTTCCATTGTTCATTCGTTCTTTCCACTGTTTATTTGTTCTTTTCATTGTTCACATTGCTCTTTTTATTACTCATTTTGATCTTTTCATTGCTCATTTTGCTCTTGTCATTACTCATTTTGATCTTTTCATTGCTCATTTTGCTCTTTTCATGGCTCGTTTTGCTCTTTGCATGTTCAACACTCATCTATATGCAGGTTTCGAGGTACACTTGGTCCACTACTTTGATTGTTCTATCCATCAAGTTAAGTGCATGATTTGTTGCGTTTTTTTTTTCATAAAATGAAACGTACCCTAGTCTTGTGCAGTTTGTAGTTTTGGACCGGAATCTCGTAAACTGAGACTTGGTGTTCTCCACGTTTCCGTGCAATCAAGTGTCAAATCGATTGCTCCTAGACAACGTTCACCGCAGATAGATTTGAAACTTTTGTACATATAGTTGTCGCAGAAGTCATGGATGTTAGGGAAATGCTTCTTGAGAAGCAATTGAATTTAGGGTAAGCGGTGGATATGCATATGGACGGTGTCGAGTTCTTGTGTTGTGTTGCTGCTGTCTCTACGGCCATTGTACTATGCTACTGGGCCACTACCAAAGATCGTATAGCACCGAAGGCGCAAGATAGATAACTCTGCCCAAAAGATGTAATTATTATGGGTGCCATTTGAGTAAGCGATACGCCTGGGCAGTTTACAGTAATGCTTGGGTGCAGGCTCACCAGGTGCACGTGCCTGCCGCGGCGCCTGTGCCTGTGCATTAATGTGCATTGTGCAGGCGTATCTTGCGCCACTGCGCGGCGCTATACAATCTTTGGCAACTACCAGGCTTGGGACCACAAACCTAAAACACAAACAGGTTCTGTACTGCCCCCCCCTTATGTATTGATGAGTAAATTATATTTACTTTCACTATATGTATTCAAGCATGCAGGTTTGTAGCTTTTTACGTTCACACAACCACTCGACGCAGTTCTGGACTCCTGTATTGATCATTTTGTTCCCCGTGCATGTGCGTGAAAATTTGTGCACACGCGTTAACATGTATCCAAATCCCAACGCCCACTACGTTCTCGATAAGTTACGTTCCACTCCACCTTCACTTAATACTGTAGCCAAACCTATGGGCTCTTGTCCTATTAGTCCGACAGCGAAAGAATAGGACTAGGAAGCAGAATTTCACTAAAGCTACGACTAAGCACCAAGTTTGGTTGTCAAATCAGTTAAGAAAACATTGCTTTCGTCAAATTGAAATACTAGTCTGGGGAATTCAAATTGATATAGGGGCCTATTTGTGCTGTCAGATAACTCAGTGTTTAAAGTTTTATTGAAATTTAACTCTCAAAAGGCTTATTTGTGTAACCAAAGGAATTTGCCTAGTCCCCATAACCAATTCCGCTTCCTGTAAAATGGAAGTATTTCCATTCTCAAATGTCATATCCCTTGGGGCATCTGACACAGGGACTTTAAAGGACCTGGAAATTTTGGAGAAATTTATATGATATATCTCAGAATTTGTTTTTGACACTTTTTGAAATGTGAAAGATCATATTTTTGTCCTAAGGCGCCAAGTCAAAATAGAAAAGGTTCCCCAAGCGGAAAATGATTGCCCTTAATCTCCTTTCAAACCATTGCCCGGTTCAACTGCAAGTGGGCAATGATTGCAAGAGAGCGTTTCCCGAAAAGGAGTTGGCTATGCAGCAACCTCTTTGATGCATACCACCATTTCCCCCACCTTGGTACAAAAGCCCTGACTCCCAGCTTACCATGAATGGTTTTGTGCATCGGCGTTGTTGTGTAAATAGGGCCAGTTCATCCACAGGCTTAGCACAGCTTATTCAGAAGGGGAAGCAATTAATCTCTTAACAAAAGACTAACTCCATCAGAGTCAACAGGCCTATGTGCATCACTAAGTCTTGTGTCACTAAATTAAGATCTGTAGTTTTCGTTCCCAAAATGTAGCACTGTCAGACAGTGATTTCCACATCACAGATTTGTCAATAATTGGATTAGACAATAAAGGAAATGGAGAACATTATAGATGCAACAATCAGAGGACTTCAAAATCAATCTAAAAAATGAAATAAGAAAAACCGACTAATGTTGGTAAGGGTAGCGTGGCAAACTGAAGGAAAATCCTTATCTATGTAAACGGTAGTATAAACCCATCCCCAACCCCAAATTGTTGACATATTAATGGGCTGGGGTCTCAGCCGTTGATAAACAGCTCTACTGACTCAACCACCAGCCACTATGGAGTGTAATCCTTAAAGCTCTCTATTGTTAGAAAACATCACCCAGGAGTGGTGTTCATCAAACCACAAGCATTTAGCTAGTGACTCCCTATCGTTGCCCGCTTTACAATGAAGCGGGTAAGGAGCTTATCGTTTATGTATTGTTTCCCACTTCATGAACCGTTTCTATTTTGACTTGGTGCCTAACTTCCGTTCTGACGACGCAATAATCTGTAAATTTTAATACACGTGCACTGTGTTTGTAAAAGTTATCTTTTGGACTGATATTCAAGCGACTGCTGCACAAGTATAAATAGATATATATATATATATGTATATAAATATATATATATATATATATATATATAGAGAGAGAGAGAGAGAGAGAGAGAGAGAGAGAGAGAGAGAGAGAGAGAGAGAGAGACTTTGACTTTTCAAATGGAAACTTTATTTCATTCCATTGAAAATGAACAAAAACACAATAAGTTTCAAGAAATTAGAATATTTACACATAAAAGATTTGTTAGAGATACAATATAACCGGTTACAACCGTCAACAGTTGAAATTATTACAATCGAGAAGAAGACAGGTAGGGTAAACAAAAGAGAAAAAACAACAGCAGCAAAATATAGTCAGGTACATTGTACAATACATGGGAGGAAATATACACTATTGACCAAGTTACTAATGAAAAAAATTCTATGTGGCTGGGGGGGTTACAAGAAGGAGAGGTGGAGGGCCTGCGTCACGAGGCAGAGGGACTACGGCCCATGTCTCGCCGAGGCAAGCTGCTGCCCCGGACTCAGGCTGAGAGAGGGGAGGTGGGAGAAGGGGCGGAGTAGGCCACCGGCATCTCTGGACGTGGGCAAATTTGCCCACTGCCGTGGCCAAGCTCCTGGAAGGGAAATGGGACGGGAGGGGGAGAGAACAGTGATTAGATGAGCCTTGTTATCCTACGATTGACCACAGTAAAGAGGAGCCGTTAATATAACAATTATCTAAGATTTATAAACAAAGGAAAAAAACACGTAAATAAGGTTGAAAAACACATTGTGTGAAAAACACAAATGAAGAATGAATACAAACAAGAAGTTACTGAATAGTCATAAGAAGACCAAGAAGCACAAATTAAAGTACAAAGAGATCATTAATTGGAAAAAATGTACCAACAAGATCATTGACATTGAAATTGAAATGNGAGAGAGAGAGAGGGGGGGGGGCTCTATGGATGCTCCTTGGATGCCTCCCATTACTAGAAGGCTTTGTAGCAGACACCTGACAAGGATGCAGTTGCTCTGAAAAGTTATAGATAAATATAATGGTGTGATGGTGTGAAATGTATGTGTTAACACACATTTGTGAAGCTTTGCACGAGCAGCTAATAATTCCCGATGAAGAAAAGGCCAACTTATATTCACAGACATTGTTCCACTCAGCTCTTTAATTAAGATTGCAAATCTTTGTTTTCACGCTTTGTTTACAATTAATGGTGGTAAATGATTCTCAGGTAAGATGCACAGAAATCAAGTCACTCTACTTTTGGCACAAACACAGTCTTGTAAGCAAACGGATACGGTTCACCGGGTTGTTCTCGGTAAGAACCTGAAATTGCTGGCAACATTTGCAGTTCAGATTTCCTTCCTCGTAGTTCTTATGTTGAAGGATTTGGGGGGCTCTCCCAAATTTTAGCCTTCTTGAAAGATACTGGCAATTGTAGTGTTTCAAAATGTGAAATTTAAATGCACATTATTTCAAAAGGGACTCATAAATATGCATGAGTGACGAATGCAAAGTTGTACGGCTCAGGTTCCAACTGCTCCTTACTCTAAAACTTCCGCTAAATAAGTGATATATGTAGGAAAGGTATTCCGGTTTTGCTCATGAAACTGGAAATCTGCGTCAACATTGACCCAAAAGGTACCACAATTTCCGATTTCAGAGGCAGAGAAAAGCGTCGATGAGAAGGACACGGGTGCATTAAACAGACGTGCATTTTCTTAATACTTTGCATCGCTGCACATTTATTCTTGTTAATTATCATGTTGGATGTTACGATTGCGTTGTCCTTATCACTGTGGAAAATCTTGCACTTAATTTCGTAATTAAACTGCTTTTTCATTGTACTTTCATATTTGGTGCCATCATGATGGTCATTCTGTGACGATAAGAATGAAGGAGGCTCAAAGCACGAATTACAGTCTCAAACTAATGGACATCATTTAATTTGACTAAAACGTACAGCACGAACCATGGTGAGATGTGCATTAAAAAAACCGTTGACCACGAACCTGAATGGACCACACCATGGTTTCATTTACTTTTCGAGCGTTAACCCTGCTAAGCTGGAGACGGAATCCGCTCCTCCCCTCGAGAGCTTGTTCCCGGTATCGATGCAGTACATTTTTCCAGGAGCTCAGCCGTTAGGAGTTTTTAGAGTAACTCTTTGGGGTCATTTTGCCACCAACGTTGTGAAAATTGAACATACTGTTGCCCCTTCCCCCAACGCCAAAAGTTGGATACGCCGCTAAGCGTTTCTGCCACCGTGTACACAATGGAATTCGTTGTAGACCAATTGTCTCAAAACATCAAGCCTAACAGGGCTTAAATGCTGCTATAGATCATTGAGCTGTCTTTTCGCGTATGGTTGCAAACAGGGTTACGTCATATTTGAAATATATATTTATAGCCCCCTTGGATGGTGGTAAACATGGCTCTGGGTATTGAACAAAGGACTGTCAGTGGCCCAGCTCCGTAAAGAGCTATCACAATGCCTACCCATAAAGCACCGTAAAGATTAACCAGTGATGGTGTTACCATGGTGATCATAATTATCTATTGACGAGTGCTGGAACATGAGTATCGCCACTGTTTGAAACCAGTTGACAGGTGTATCCATCAGTACACAGATGTCACCGAGCATATATTACTGTGCCGAATATCAAGATAATACAAACAAGTCCTTCTTCATTATTATTTTCGTTGAATTAAAATCAGGGTAAAGGTTGTATCAACGTGTGGCATGTTTAGAGAATTTTGAGACATCAAAATGCGTCAAAATCTTCAAATTTTGTAAAATTAAAATTTTGTGTGCGTATCCTGTTTTTATTTTAAACCTATATTTTTAGCATATGCAAACATACCAAGATATGTATTTCAAAGTTTAGAAATGCAAGAGGCCATATGCTCTGGTGCAAAGAGACAAAAAAGGCTAATTTTTAAACTTTTTTTAACAAGGCATATTTTGTATAATTTTTACGAGTTATTTTTTAAAATTACGTTTTACGAGATATATTTTTATAGCCTTTTACTGGGCCGGTCTAATGGAGTCTTCTCAGAAGCGCATCTTTTGAGACCCAGTTTTCCTACAAGGCTCACTCACCTCAACCATTCATTGGTCTATCTATCAATGCAGGCAATTCAAAATTTACTTTTGTCCTTGAAAGACTGGTTTCTATTTTGGTCATCTCAACACGGCCAATTATTTATAACAGCGGTTAGTTCACGATCGCGTGACGGGTGATAAACACAGTCAGAATCTGTTTGTTCTGGGTACCAGACACCGTTAAGCTGTAGGTTCCCAGAGTTTGACGTTGAGACTCGAACCTCAAATAAAAGAAATCCAAAGAGAGTGCAATGCTTTTAATGGTGTTGGAAATGAGTGTGAAATCATTGCCCGATGCGTAGCTGATGGCGCGCACACAACGCTTCACAAGGACGCAGTACCCATGAAAATACCCGACGGCCATTTCTTTTGACACATTCACAACGTTCACACATACACAGTTCTTCACATGGGTGAAGCAAAGTCATCGATAAACAGTAATTGGGTCACTGTTCACCTTTTGATATCTCGTAAAAAAAATTGAAAAACAAATCTCCTGGGGAAAAACTTTGGAAAAATATTCCTCGTAAAAGCAAATGTTTCCAACATGGAGGCAATGTTTCAAGAAATAGATCACAGAGAACGATCTGAAAAGCAATATCCCAAAGGGAAAAAAAACTTGAAAAAGGTAGATCTCGTAAAAACAAACTTGGAAAATACATCCTTCATCTTTTTGTCGTTGAATGGTTGAATTATTACAGATATTTGCTTAATTGGGCAGCGGTGACACGGGGATCAATGTGGCTCTACAGGGCATGGAGACTGTAGCCCCCTCCCCCACACACACCCACATACTGTTGTCTAGCTTGAAAAATGTTTAAAATGGAAGCTTATTTTGTGATACTGCCACTTTTAGTTTTTCAGTTAAGTTCAAGGATAATGTTTTAAATTGTTAACGTATACCTTCAATCTATTTTATATATGTTTATTTTATTAATTTTTCTTGTCTATCCCTTTGAAATAGGATAGACGAGAAAACGTTTGCACTCAATGCAACTTATCAGGGATAGCCGTCTGCTTTTAAACCAGATTTTTTTCTACAGCAAAGCCACACCAAAGCTACAGCCAAAGCTGGATTCTTTTCAATGTTTTAATGTTTTTAACGACATGTTTTTATCAGTAAATATCAATTAAAAATTTCTTGTTAAAAGTCACAGAATTATTTTGCAAAAGCACTCTTGAAATATCTACCAGTGACTGAATCCATTATTACTAAAAGTAACGTTCAAAACTGCCTTGTTATATGAGGATTTTAGCACATATGATATTTTAATGTCTGTTTTATAAATGCAACCTACGTCGTGCTTATCCTGTGGACGTAACAAAAATTAACATATCGCACAGTTGTCAATAGATATGTTTGACGTTTTGTTGCAAAATGCCATTAATATTTCATCGCATGACACTATCATGTTTGACAGTCTACCGGTTCAGCTGGCCTTGAGACCGTCCGGGGAGGTTTGGGAGTCAGTGATAAATACGGGTAATCTCCGGCATTGCTTCTCATAATTCAGCATCGGTAGTTTGTGACAATGAACAAAAAGGCCGCTTGGATTGTGATTGTCTCTGCAATAGCAGGTAAGCCCAATCTTTGTTTCATGTTTAAGTCTAAGTAATTCCCACTCTATTTGGCAGTGAATATTTCTGCAGAAAATAACAGTAATTGCTTCACTAACATTAATTGACATCATAAGCTGCCTAGTTATGTAACTGGGGCATTTGTGGTAACATCCTTTTTTCGTGGTTTACTCTGAAATCTCAGGTCTAACCTGTTATCACCGAAAATGCCAAATCCTTAAATTAGAATAACATCGAAGAGCGGTTGATGTGAAATCTTCTTTGGGATATTTCAGAAATTGGTTCAATGTAAACCAAACTTGGTATGTGTATAAAAGCATTCGCTTAAAAGCACACTTGCGGTCCAGTTCTATCCATCACTTAGTTTCGTTGCTGCGTTCGTTTGAAATTAATGGCCTCATGCGTTTAGGCCCAACTGACATTGAGTTCACCGAAATGTATAGAATTTGGGCTGACTTTGTCTCGGAAATGGGCGTTTGAGAGCAAAGCCGGGACAGAAAGCCATGGAGGGGGACATTGTGTGGAATATTCTGTTACTGTATGTGCAGTTGAAAGTAGCGTTTGGAAATTCAAAATTCAAGTGGCAATTTTCTGAAAAAAAAAACTTAACGGAACAAGAAATCTGGACGGCATTGGTCCAAACCAATTGCCTTGATTTGACAGCTGTAATTACACAGATGTAATTACAAAATAGGCAAACAAAACAAATGTTCTGGACGGCGAAGTTTTCTCAGGTGAGATATTGCTAAGCAAACCTAGCATTTCGGTGAGTTCTCAAGGATTGACAAATGTTTGGATGTACATGTCATTTTGGCAAATGTCTCACACCATTTTAAAACACTACGAAAAGATCTTGGATTGTCAAGTTTTTCCACCAACCTTTGGCACAAGTCAAAACTTCAAGACACTAACTACTTTTCTGTAATTCTTCTCTAACAGAGAATCTAGACCTTTTCCCCTTGATACACTAAAGATTGCATTGACACTTCCAATTCTGTGTGCATATAAGTGAATGGCGCTGAAAAAAACAGAGTAAATTAACTTCAACTTACTAAGATATCTCCCGAATGATTTGGCGATATGAAGGACTAATTTGACCGCGCAGAGGAAATCCAGATAGGATTGACATCTACCTTCCTTTGATTGTAGCTATTATGAAACGGACTATGATACACAAAATAACAATACTACTAAAAAAAGTGAACAAACGTTTCAAGCATTTAAGAAAAATAATAATAATGCTAAGGTTAGCCAAATCGCGTCCTAGAAAAGTTATCGTGATGTTGATATTTAACTGTCTTTGATTCCAAGTGTTAACGAGTGGTGTGGAGGGCACGACGAGGACATGTTACTTCGGTCCCCCACCGAAACCCGATCCTGAAAACCCGGATCACTGGATGAAACAAGTCATGCGGGAGATACGGGAGCGTTGCCCGGGAAAGGGGGCATGTAGCCAAGCTGGTGAGTTATCCTGATACTCGATAAATGAATGCTGTTGAACTGAACTGGAGAGGTTTGCTTTGAAACAATATACCACTCAAAAAAGTTAAGGACCACTTTTTTCTTAATTTTTCATTTCCAAGCAATGAGTGGGGTCTAGTTCTTTCGTTTCTAGAGGGTGTTCTCATTTGAATAAAAAATTAAAAGAAAACTGTTTCAAAACATCAAATGCACATTTTCAGCAGTAAAATATCTAATATAAAAAAGTATACACAAAACAAAATTGGTCCTTTTAACTTTTTTAGTAGTGTATATTTAACAAGTTCGGAAACAGTGGAATATATTTTGCTTTTTTGTTGTTTTTTGGGGGGTTCGACATGTTTAAGGTTTTGATCAGTTGCAGTATAGGTTGAAATGACAAATTTCTTATGGAACATTACCATTTGTTGGTAGAAAATACAAAGGTACTGAAAAATATTTTTCTTTTCTGTTTTGTACTTATAAAGTTTTTCTGAGGGCTTTTCCTTTTAACTGGAATGAGAATATTCAATTGATTTCCCATTTTCTCTGACTTTTTGAGTGGTATGTCTCTCATACTGAATATAAAGGAATTATGACTATTCAATTGTTACATTTCACTGGAATTGACAGCGAGTTTTAAGGATGTTGAACATCAGAGGTCCATGGATGATGGCGTTTCAACACAGAATTTTCGAAATACCTCGATTACTTTTTGTGGTGCTGTGGTTGACGGCAGTGTGCATGCATTTAAGGAGCCCCTCGCCGCCAGCAAAAAGGAAAGATACAAAAAAGACACAAGAAAAAAGGGAGACTGATCACACCGTGAAACTCTGGGCGTAGCGCCCAATGTTTTGCATTTTGATTTACAGTTGTATGTTGACATATTACGATCTTATCCATTTGCGGATGGGGAGGCCTATTGGTGCTTTGCTCCCCCCCCCAAAAAAAAAAATTGGGTTGGGAAAAAAATCTTATTTCCCTTCATCCCAAGGCACACCCTCCCACATACCCTCCTGACCCCACGCATTTTTCCAACGGAGTGAATTGTACCGTGTGTTCCTGTCAACCGAGTCCGTTTGGTTTTTCAACTGAGGAGAGTTCGGACAGCTGGGCCTGCAAAAAAGAACCCCTGAACCCCGAATTCCGCCCCGTTCCAACAGATAACCTTCTAAAACCCCAAACACCTATCGAAAGATCCAAAATCCTCCTCATCCCTGACTTCGACGGGGTCAACGCTGCTCCTAGCGGCTGGGGATTCTGTGGCTCAGTCTTGACCTAGTGCCTCGTCATCAGAGAGTGACAGCTGGGATGAAAGAAGGGTGTCCCGCAGTGGCGAACTAATTACGCCTGTAGTGTTGACCAGCAACTGTTGGCTGAGATGAGTTCCTCCGCTTGGCGGTCGGCTGTAATGCACCGGAGACATTCAGCGAAGAAGAGTGACACCGCTACAGCTGACTGCCCAAACTGCTGAGCTTATGTGGAGAATTGTTAATTTTGTCTAACTTGGTAATCATCAAAGACTGAGGCACTTATCTATCTGACTGACTTCGTTTATTGGGTACATATGTAGTCCGTCAGCCAACAATGGTGTCTGAGAAAATCGTCACTGTGACGTCATCGGGGTCACATTAAAAGTGCAAACTTCAATTCTCCCTATCCTCAGAAATACATGTCTGATTGAGTTGAAAACTGGGTGTGTAGAAAGAGAGGTGTTATAGAATACAATTGACACAACTCGGTGATGACGTCAACAGGTGATGGGCCACATGACATTAAAGATCTACTCTCAAGAACACTACAACTCCTGAAGTGCATGCTCGGTTGAGCTGAAACCTTCCAGGTATAATACAGCAGACGTTGTATAGACCAAAATGAACACGATATGATGCTGAAGTCATCTGGTGACAGGTCACGTGGCATTTAACGCGCATCCTTTGAAGCCCCATATCTTGTGAAGTCCAAGTCCGATTCGGTTGATATTTTGCATAATAATCTAGGAAGGGAAGTGTCATAGACGAATAGTGATATCATCTGATAATGACGTCATCGGGTGTCACGTCACGTGGTATGATATGATGTACATGAACAATTGGGTTGGAACTTCGTGTAAAGCTAGAAAAGAAAATGATACAGACGAAAAGTGACACCATGTGGTGATGACGTCATCAAGTGACAAGTCACGTGACATTAAAGGCGCACTCTGCAAGGCACAGTATTTTCTGAAGTATGGGTCTGATTTGGTTGAGACTTCATATACCTAAGGGACGTGGTTTAGACCGGAATTGACCTGACGAGAAATTGACTTTATCATTTGACGAGTCACGTAACATTGCGGGTGCACTACATCTCGTGGAGTTCAACACCGATTGCGTTGAAAATTGCCAGATGGCCGAAAAGGGAAGTGTGAAAGACAACAGTGACATCATTTGGCAATGACGTTTCAAGCTTCTCCTTTAAAGCACCACAACGTCCATGTCAGCTCGCCATGAAATCTTGCACATAGTTTGTCAAGGAGGTTTGTCACTGGCAAGAAACAGAACCAGAGCCGAAGCAGCTGCACTTTCCAGAAATACATTTCTAGGTGGTTTGTATTGTTTTTGTGACACATTGTGCACAGGCGCCGATGAGGGGTGCTTGCTATTACACAATACACAAATGGACAATGAAATATGAGACTTATCACACGACACAAACTGTGTAATGATTGTCCGTGCAACGTCCCTACAGGTTTTCGCACTACCCATCAAACACGAGATGGGGGGGTTGTGTTTTCACTTCATAGTTGTATCTGTTGACAGATTCGGGGCAGAGGTGATTGTTACATCCCCTCGAAACAAGACCGTTGGGAGCACTGTTTCGTTTCCATTTTTCCTGAAATGGGCAAGCTCGACATTTTAGCCTTAACTTAAAGAAACGCCATGAAGGTCCCACGATTGCAAAAGGCAGAGGACATGAACTTTCAAAAGAAGGGGTTTCATACTGTGGACTGCATTAATTCGTCCCCACTCAACACTCATGCCTCTCTAGTAGTTATAGTGGAGCTAATCGACCTCCAGATGAAGCGGTTTGAGGCGGGAGGCAGTGAGGCCTCCGGATGAGGCGGGAGGCGGATGCGGGTAGGTTGCGGCGAGAGGCGGGTGGTCGGGCGGGAGGCGGATGCGGGTGGTCAGGCGGGAGGCGGATGCGGGTAGGTCGCGGCGAGAGGCGGG